AACGTACTACGGCTCCAATATGCTTCAATATTTCGACGTGCTACCAGTCTGTAAAGCAGACCTCTCAAATTCTCCCAGACGCCAGTATTTACACAAGTTACTTTCAGTACGGCGAGTATTTTTAGAAAGCTGTACTCATTGCATATCCATAGTTCCCCCAGCGTTGACAATATTCCTCCGAAAGTACTGATGTGGCAGCTAAGAGGATAACTAAACCATTAGCGAGATTTTTCTCAGGTTGCCTGGACGAACAGCAGGTCCCTAACATCTATTATCGGCATTATTACCCCGATTTTCAAGCATGGTGACCCTTTAGCTCCCAGAAAATATCACCAGAGATTCTCCTCCCGGTGCCTTCAAAATTGATGCAATTGATCTTAAATGAGGTTTTGATGGGCTACTTCGAAGGACCTAACATCATAACACCGGAGCAACACCGAATCCGTCTATATCGATCATGCTATACGAATCTAACTATTGTCTGTTGCAATTGGACCGAGAGAACCGACAGTGGGATCGGCATTAGTGTGACCTACTCATGGTTTTCTAAACCCTTGGACCGTAAAGATCACCTCACAACTTTAAGAAAGCTGCAAGCGTACGGAGTTACTAACCTTGTCCTTTAATGGATCGGAAACTTCTTCCGTCAACAGCGCCTTAAAGTTCGAGTTTGAGGCTCATTTTCTGATCAAATTAATGACGACTGCGGTGTTCCACAATGGTCAGTGTTGGAGCGTCGGTTATTCTTGCATCATTCAGCTAGCCTGTCCTCATTATCCTCTCTGACGAACAAACGATAGTATACTCATTTGAGAGAACTGCTGGGGTTGCTTACAAGGACAGTGAGTGCTTGGAATCTTATTCAAATACCTACAATGGAATTTCCATCATGGTACGGCGTGCAGGTAAACAACGATTATCCTCAAGTGTTCAATATCATCAGTAGCATGAAATTTTTTTTCTTGGTATTACTAATCTTAGGCAGCTTCGCCATGAATGATAGCCTGTGGAGCATTCTGGAAATCTATGGTATGGCATGATCGCGTTGCTCCTGGATGATTGACGTCTTAGCCAGGAGGATTTTGCTGACTTCGTCATAAGCTATGACTTTTCACATACCAATTAGAAAGCTCTGAGTGGTTTTGAGCTCTATTTTATGATGTGTAAACAAACTCTGCCCGCTAGGAATTCAAGCCCTTTTTGTGTGACCGCTCCGCAGGTAACTTAGTCGTATTATCTCACGCTTCAACAGATAAGACCGAAATGCGAGTCTTCTAAGTCTAAATAACCTTTGCATAACCACAACATCTCTGCTGTCAGAGTTACATTAGCCCCACAATGAAACGGCGCGTCTGCAACGCTACCCAAGGATCAGTTTACAGCGCGATAGTCGAAATTATCCCAGAAGCAAATCTCGAGGCTGTATGTTTTAAAGCACAACAGCTTTCAAAACATCACAAACGTACAATGAAAATATACACCTGACTTTAAATCCGAGGAGTATAAATTCTTTATTAACTATTCGGTGCATTAGACACGTGCATCTCATGCGTGCCAAAGGTTTTCCTCTATAAGCGTACGTTGGTAACTTATTGTTGATTGCAGACGATGGGAGAGCAACCAAACCGAAACATTTACTCCAAATGTCAAAGCCTTTCAGCTCGTTTTGCTGAAATCATAAATATACAAGTCCACTATGACGAAAGCATTATGCGATATGATTCAAAGACGAAACCGGTTACAGCTCACGCAAGAATATGTTCGCTGTATGCTAACTTTCTTCAGTTGTTGTTTCCAAGGGGAGATTTCTCAAGATTTCAAACACTGGAGGAGAAAGATATCCATATCCACAAGGGCTTTTACTAGGTTGGCTCCCAGTATTTCCTATTGCGTCCAGGAAGCCGAGAAGGATTTATCAACTTTCTCCTAAGTTCTGCCTCAGCCAAGTGTATAAGACATATTTGTTTAGGTTAATAGATTTCATCATTATTTTTACCCCCTAACGACTAGTTTGACGCACAAATATGTAGCGAATCGGCATTAGCTTTCTTAATCTTCAAAAGCACGTTCACTCTGTGGGCTTATATTTTACGGCCAAATATAGCGTAATGGACACTCCTAATAAAAATATGCATAAGGGAGCGTATGCGGCAGTTTTGTTGATTCTAACAAACGTTAGTTCTGGCTCACATTTGGATGCTTGCGTCTCCAGATGGAGTCTATTTCGATCATATCTATTGTCTATTTTAAAGAGATCATTTATTTAATCTACTGGTTTAAGAGTAAGTTCTTACTGCCTGACAGTCAGCGAAATCGCAGCTCCAACCAAACTTTGTGTTTACCAGTTAGCAATTTGCGCCATTCAAACGATCCTCTCCAAC